CCCCAAAACCCCAAAACCCCAAAACCCCATGAAAATTTAAATAATTTGAACTATTTTTAATAAAATTTCTGATAAATGGAAGAAAATAAAATAGAGAGCCCTGAAAAGATCGATGAAGGAGCCAAGCTCGGTAACTATATTATTGGCAAGACTATCGGAGAGGGCACCTTTGGAAAGGTCCGACTGGGCATCCATACACTTACTAATGAAAAGGTCGCAGTTAAAGTATTAGAGAAAGAGAAAATCAAGGAAATAGCTGATATTGAAAGAGTGACGAGAGAGATTTTCATACTAAAATTAATCAGACATCCTAATATTGTGCAGTTATATGAAATTATTGAAACGCCTAAGAATCTGTTCTTCATCATGGAGCATTGTGCCAAAGGAGAGCTCTTTGATTATATTGTTGCTCAAGGCAAGTTAGAAGAAAAAGAAGCTTGCAAATTTTTGGAGCAAATACTCTCAGGCGTAGAGTATATTCATAAATTAAATTTTGTACACAGAGATCTCAAACCAGAGAATTTACTTCTTGATGAAAATATGAATATCAAAATTGTAGATTTTGGTCTAAGTAACATTTTCCAAGATCAGGAAATGTTAAAGACAGCCTGTGGATCACCTTGCTATGCTGCACCAGAAATGGTCGCTGGCAAGAAATACTTACCTTGTTGTGTCGACATATGGAGCTGAGGAATTATCCTATACGCAATGATCTGTGGATACCTTCCTTTTGAAGACCCTGACACATCTAAGCTTTATCAAAAAATTTTGTCAGGAGATTTTGAGGTTCCTGAGTTCATGACACCTTTAGTCGAGGATATCTTGCATAAGATATTAAACACAGATCCGAAAGACAGGTACACAATCAGTGATATCAGAAAGCATGAATGGTTTGTGAAATATCACTCTAAACAGCCACAGAAAGCTGGAATTTATATCGGTTACAATAAAGTACCAGTGGATAACGAAGTGATGCAAATGCTTGAAAGCTTTGGTATCAGTACAGATTATGCTAAGAAGTTGCTCAGTTGTTCTCACAATGATATTACAACCTCATATTACCTTTTGATGAAGAAATTGAAGAAACAATGCTTCCCTGATGAAAGTGAAAGCCCACGGACACTGAAGAAGAAACTAATTGAAAAGGAAGAGCAGAAATATGCAGAATCTATTTTAGAAGATTCCAAAATTCAGATGATGAAGAAAATCAAAGATGCCAGCTTGAATAATAGAGTTTCTCACAATAAGCATATAGGGAGTAATGAAGGATTGGACAACTCTATTAGAAAGAACATAGGAAATTCCAACCTTTCATCTTCAAGAGACTCTGTTTCCCAAGTTTCTCCTAATAAAAACGCCCCAACAGCTGAGATGAGTAAGAGAGAAGACTCTAGCAGTTCTAAAAATAGGAGTTTTACTCAAAATAAAACTAAAGGAAGGCCATTAACTCAAAATAGAAGGAATAGTAACGACCCCCAACAGAATTTAAGCCTCAACGAGAAACTTAGTAGCAAAAATAACCTGAACAAGAGATGAAGGAAAGACTCGCAGGAAATGTATCAGCCTAATCCTGAAAAAGCACGAATAAGTTATAATGAATGGAATATACAAGGAAACAGCATGGTTTATTCACCAAATAAGTTCGCTACGAATAATGATCAGTCAGATTACAACCATTATGAAATATGTGGGGCACACACAACAGCTACAGCTATGAACAATACTCAGAATCTAAAGCTATGCGATTATTTAAAAGTCTCTGATCCAAGGGCAGATGAAACCGAAATCGGGATATTTCAAGGAAAACAGGTAATTCCAGATGATGATCAAAAATATGGCGCAAACATCTCTTTCGAAAGCCTTTCAGCAGTGGCTAAGATCTTTAGTAATAATTTTAAAGCTGATCAAGACTCTGAGCTTGACTTCGACGATGAACGGATTAATAGAACTAATATTGAAGAAGTTAATGAAGAAGGCATTCTAAATTTACTTGATAAAATTAATCCAAAGATTGAACTCTCAGTGCTTAGAGAAAATTGTAAAAGGAATTCTCATCCAGATCCTCCTCAACTGCAGAATGATGACATGCAGAGCAATATTTTGTTGATCAATGCGATCAAAAATTCAGCAAAACAAAAGGCTGTGAACCAGAGTTCAGAAGCAGTTTCGAACTCGGTCATCATCGAGAGTGAGAAAATTAAATATAAAAAGCCCAAGAGACACTCAAAAAATCAAAGAATGAATGTTTCTAACAGAAAATTTAATGTTAGAAGTAAGAAGGAAAATGACTCACAAGTGCTGTATAATGAAGATTATAAAGACTACATTCCTAAAAAACGACACACAGTCTCAGGCAAGAAAGGCAATAGTGGAAATCGAAGGAGTCGGAAAGCTCTCAAACAAGATGGAAGAATTAGTAATAGAAAGCAAAATCTTCTTAGTAATGGCCATAAGGGGTCACATAAAAGATCTCAATCTTTAAGCAAGTCAAATACTGACTCTCGTTATAAAAGTGTGCCTCAGAATGGTTATCAAAATGATCAGGAGAGACTGAAGAAAAATTTTGTTAAGGCAAAGTTCAATACCATCATTAATAACAGAACTCCTCAGATAAATCAAATAAGGGTGAAGAATAATGATGCTAAACTTGAATTGAGTCTTAGGAATGCAAAGAAAAATCTTCATAGCTACTTTAGAGAAAGTAACAACTTTGCTTCCCTGACTGGTAGAGACAAAGGAAAGGTTTTATTGAGAAAGGTATATGCTCGGAATGACATGAATAGTCAAGTAATACCTTTGTTACCACTTCCAAGTCTCAATATAAATCCTGAGATTAGTTGATCAAAGTTTTCTTTCTAAAATCAATAACTTCTAAATTATTGAACAGATTCATCTAGCATTTAGGTAAATAAAAGGAATGAATCAATTAAGAAAGGAAAGATTAGCAAGACTAAGGATAGACAAGGCCGGTTTATCTCCCCAATATTTAAAGCAGGGCGGAGTAATTCTCGTAAAGTTGACAACCATCCATCAGCAAAAGGAAATGTGATGGCTCTCAACAAGATTCAAAACTTATTAACTAATATTCGGACTTCTAGGTCTAACAAAATGGGCAAACAAGGAGCCGATGTTGGTAAGAAGTCAAATGCTTATAAACATGATGCGGCTGGCTACAAGTCAACTCTAGAGCCAAAGCTTCCTAAGTATCAGCATTACAATAATCTAAATACCATAAATCATCATGAATTTTATGATGGGAAACACTCTTCGACCAAGAATCATAAGAAACACAAAGTTTTGAAATATTTCAACGGGCCAGGAAGGCAAGTGCTTCACCAGCTATGAAACAAAATGAAGAAGTATGAAAACCTGAAATCTCTATATGCTTCTAATGAGACTCTCAAGTCTTCTCTGAATACTTCCTCTTTGGGTAAGAACAAGATCACAAGTTCAAAGAATAAGTGAGAGAAATAAGGCAAAAACTTCTCTAAACAATGACCGTATGATGAAAAAGTACCAGAAAGAGATCACCTTGATTGCTAAGAAGAAAAGGGAATATGCTCTTGCTCAAGCAAAGTCAAGTAACAGGACCAATAACATCAATACTACAGCCTCTACAATTCTTATGAGCTTGGCTGGTGCTAATGCCAATAATTTGAGCATTACAGAGTATCCTGGGCTAAACGAATCGCTTGCTTCCCTTAATCATGACTTTGGGCAGATCAAGATTGGAGAATATGTCCCTCAAAATATATCTCACCAGAATATGAGCAAGATCAAGGTTGGAAGGAACTCTACTAAGAAATTCCTAAGAGATGTCCACACTGAAGTCAGGAAGAAGAACGGTGGAAGTGTGGACAAACGTAAAGCACAAATGATCAATAGAAATAATAACTCCCAAAAGAGGTCAGATGAAAGCAGAAGGAAAGGAGGCAATAAACTCAAGCATAGAGGCATTATTGAGAAAAACCAACTAGGAAAGAGGAAGATTATAGCAACTGAGACTTTTAGTTAGCTATCCCAATTTTTTAACTGTTTTCAAAAATTAGAATTAAAAAAGGGGTTTTGGGGTTTTGGGGTTTTGGGGTTTTGGGG